AAAATGTATTTGACCAAGAATACCTTAAATCTAGTTTGAAGGCAAAAACGTAATATATACACAAAAGTCAGAACAAAAAAAGCATACTCCACCACCACATCGCACAAGACACAACCTGACACAAACAATAAAATAAGGCAAATCCTTCCTTCAGTTCTCCCCACGAATTCACACACATACAAAAAGGTAGACGTGTAGAAAATATTCTTGATTCCGGTTCTACTCCAAAAGAGCTATATTTATTGCGTTTTCATGATTCATAATAGCGGGGAACTCTTTGTCCAAAGATTTGTGTTCGTTTTTATCCAACAAAGCAACAGAGGCTGAACTATAGTAAAGTGGTAAGTTGGGACTGTTGGTAAACGTTGAACATGATGAAAAATCTAGCACAAAGTGAAAATGACAAAAAGAAGAAAGTCTGTACTGTATTCCCCCTGCTGCCGGTGTCTTCTGTCATAAATGAATTTTGCTTCGTCTTTCCTTTCTTTATTTAATATTACCGCGGGCGCAGATGACCAAGTAGGCAGCGCGCCTTCCTTCAATGAAAGGAGGGTATTACGTGGTCTACACCGTCATCGAGAAAAGCATGGGAGTGGTGTTGGCCGGCCACTGCCTTTGCCCTGCCGGGTAAGTAAACTTCCTCAACTTAACGCACAGGTGTCGGGTCTAGGCGTTCTGGAAAACGTGGTCTCCTGGATACCGCGGCACGAAATTTCGATGCACGCTGTTCTCTGCTTATAAAACGTAAGCGTAAAGGACGTGAAGCGAATATAGTGTTTTTGCTTTTACTTGGTGCACGTGCGAATCATAACATTTCGAGCAAGTAGTGGTGGGTTTTTATCATCCCTGAACAAAACGTCACGCAGCACCGGTGTCGAAGCTTCTGCTTTGACACCGGTGCTGCGCCAAGGAACGGCGTCGAAGCTTCTGCTTCGACGCCGTTCCTTGGCGTATTCGCTTGGGAGCGGTCGTGGTTGCTGGCATGTGTGAATATAGGAGGATACGCAGCCCTCGATCATGCGCGTGCCCACACCGGCGTACGACAGCTGCATAATTTATAGTCAGTAACTGTCACCTCGGACTACATACAGTGGCAACAATGTGGTTTTCGAGATGATCATGCGCACATCATTTATAAAGAAAGCATTGTAATGTAGATATTCGTCACTCAACTGCAACGCTCACATAGAAACCTACGCACTTCGTTTTCGTATGTTAGTACCACGGATGCACATGAAGCATTCGCGTGTACTTGTTTTTTTCCACTTTTTTGTTCACCTGCCATACCCAGTTGAGGCGCGTAATTCTTCCTCTTCGAACGCCCTGCAAATCGGCGATAGCGGTCGAGAGCGTCTCTCTTTTTAAACCTGTCCGTGTAGACGAAAATTGATGGCACGAAATCTGGGTGCCCAGGCAAGTTTGAGAACTTCCCTGTAAAAAAAAAAAAAAAAAAAAAAAAAAAAAAAAAAAAAAGCTGCAATAAGTGCTGCACCCACGCGACTCGCAAAAAAAAAAAAAAACGCACATAAGCGAGCCCTCACTGGCCTAACAACGCGATCTACTTCACTGGCGTGCGATTTCTGAGAAAGCTTGCAAAATACGAGCGACAACAGCGGCACGACAACACGTTACGCAGTGTAAAGATGAGTACCTGTTTATGTCAACGCAATATCATATCATGCCAAGCTTCGTACTAGCAAGTCATAATGAACCAGTTCTCGCATACGAGCAGGCTTAACGAACACGCACACAGTTCTACTGACGCGGCGCCGGCACTGGCCTGCATAGAAGTACCTGGAAAGCTGGAACACGCTAGGCTATGTATTATTTAGATGCGTACATTCCACAAAATGCAATCCGCAGAGCCGGGACGACGATGACGTCAGCCATGGACTCCCGTCTTCCCACTGACGCTTCACAGCCCTTATCCAAGCTTCTCGGCGTTGCCTGTCATGTTTTACCGACGGGAAACGAAAAAAAAACCCTGCTTGGTGCCAGGAGTGGCACGGGAAGAACAATTATATGTGGCACACGACGTTGGCATTAGGTTTGAGAGAGAAACTTCGTTCGGCGCTCGTTCGTCTGCAACCTTCGGTCTGCAGCAGAGGCCAACCACGATGGTTCCGAAAACTGCCGTTAGGGTTTAGCGCACGCTCAGTCGGATCTTGCAAAAGGTGGATAGTCAACAACACCCAACCAAGTCGACATAATCTTTCTCGACTTGAACAAAGCATTTGATACGGTCTCTCATTCCGGTCTCATATTCAAACTTTACGAACTTGGCTCCACGTCACTGCCGCTTATTTAGCAATACTTCACTTCTGACGCCGCGGCCGCGCATGTTAAAATTGACCACGCGCCGCCACTGTCAAAAACGATCTCGGCTCAAATTTAATTATGCCGGTCTACATGCATTTCTTAAAGAACCGGTAGCTGCCGTATGAGATTGTTTTTTTTTTTTTTTTTTGTTTCGGGTTATACGTTAAATGTTATATTTCCGTTTTTATTTTGTTCCAGGTTGGTCAAAAACAATGGTTCTGATACTGTTTTCAGCTTCGGGCTTGGGTTCGGTTGCTGCAAGTTTCCTGTCACAATGTAATGCGAAACATAATATTATTATGTAGTCCAACGTATTTATATAATTGAATGACGATTCTGTTTTGAGGCACAATATTTAAAACAAAAGCAATGAGCATATCTACGTGATGGCTTCTTACACTACTGCATGGGAGCATTTTTCAGCGTCATTTTGCCGTTTTGACGCTTTACTTTTGGCGATTGCACCTTTTCAGTAAAATATTTGACGCCTTGGTTTTTCGACATGTAGTGTGCTGACCATGGAGTTTTTTTTCGCCTGCACCGTTATCGCGTGCAGTTCTGTCAGAGTGCTATCTTAGTCACTTTGAATAAATATTTACTTTTCAGGAGCTGATATAACTATAAGAGCGTTGAGCTAATTTGTCAATATTAATTTCGGGAACTACTGGACGCACGAAACCTTTTGTTTTCCCCTTCTTCTTTCTACCAGAACCTTGGAGAGAGAATTAAGTCACGTTTTACATTTTTGCTCGCGAATTTTTTATTCAAATAATATATCGACAAACAAGGGTTACATTCTTATCTGCTGTTGTCCTGAATTTGGTTTTATAATATTTTCTAAAATTGTCTGCTTAATATTTTCTTTACATGACTATACAGTACCTTGCCGTTTGATTTTTGTCTAATTGTTGATGTGCGTGGTTCACCAGAAATATTCAAACATATGATTGACGATAGCGAGCTAAAAATCATAAACTTTAGACATGTTTTTTTTTTTTGTAACAACTTTAAGAAACAGCCACGGTTGTATAATTTATTTCAGTAAAACAAAGATTTCATTTGTATAATGCTTATAGCGGTTACTCTGAATTTAATATTTGGTAAGACCCATTCACTACTGTAGTCAGAGAACTCAGGCAGTGCATAACTACTACTAATCTGGTGTCTTGAACCTTTATCACGCTGTAGTGATTAGAACAACGCGGGACAGCACAATGCTGTCCGTTGTAAGAGCGGCTGACTGGTCGTGAAATATACTTTAAATGGCGTCATCAGTAAGTTTTTAACGCGAAGCAGCGCTAGCTCTCGCTCTAAGCCTCACACCTCAATGAATAGCAGTAATATTTACACATATGGTTTTCTGTATTTACCTTCGTCATACTACTAAAATAATATTGCCATTTGTTAAAGTTAACCCTCATTGTGAGCGTAACATTTCTGTGCAGTACCCTATAATTAGGTGCCTGTTTTATGTCATTCCTCTATAGTTGTGTATGCATAAAGACACTCAATTTTCTGTAAAATCCTCAGGCCTCGTGAGCAAAAAATAAAAAAAAAAACGAATGAAATGAAAATAGGTTCTCTTAATTGAATACGCTTAGTACAATGACGGGCAAAATTTATGTGAATACGAACCAATAATTTTGATAGTGCCTTCAATCGATTCTTGCAAACGCATGCCACCCGCCATGGCTCGCACATTTCTTCCCTTAGTGGAACGTACCATATCACATTTTGCTCCAGAATCCACAACCAGATCTCGGAATATGCATGTGCAAAACAAATTGTTGAAGCAAATCATGTATTATCATGCAATATTGAAGCTTTTTTTTTTTCGCTTTCCGAACATAACGATTTGTTGCAGAAATAATTTGTGTTCTAAGTGATAACAGACATTAAAGCACTGCACTTCTAAAGTCCACGTCCATAGTAATAGTATTTTTATTGCAACTGCTTTTTTCTGTGTTGATCTTTATTACTTTTACTTTTCCCTCTGGTCTTGAGGAACTGCGTTTGTTTTTTCGTATAAACGCGCTTAGGGGTTGTTGACCTCTGCTCTCTTGTAAATAACAAGAGTCGGAAGTTACCTTGCAGGACAAGTGCGTTCCAGGAAAAATCCATTGCGGTATGCATTGTTTATTTTTTGTTCTTTAAAATTATTTATTGCTCGAACGTTTTCCGAAAATATGAATCTTAACATCCCGTTTAAGTTCTTTTTTTTTCTTTTTTTGCAGACGGTAACACTTGTAGCTGAAAAATTGCTCTAACACATAATTATTGAAATTCTGTATGATAAAAAAAACAAGTATGAATTATGTGCACACTGGTAGTCTACGATATTTGACTGCCGGAAATCATAATGACTATATTCGCTTCCTTAAATATTATGTACAAGTTTTCTAAATGACTCGTTTTTTTATGTAACTATATAGGATAACATCACAATGATCGAACCATATATATAAAACAATTTTGCCCAAACAAATTTTGATCCTCTGACCTTTTCAGGCTACGGTTCTTATTTTTCAAACAATGACGTAACGACAAGGTGAGTCTCATTCGAGCCAATCCAGTTGTCTTTTTATGCACCTGTGTTTGAAATTCCAGGAAGTGTATATAATATTCCGCTGGCGAGCTCACAAACATTCGAGGGAATTCAGTTGCGTCGTTTTCTCGAAGCCATGAAAAATATTTGTACTGTTATTTTCGTGCTGGTCTGGGGTAGCGCCCAGTGTAGTTCTGAAAAAGGCTTCAATATTACTGTGCTGCACACAAACGACATTCACTCCCGCTTTCTGGAAGCTAACAAACGAGGTGGTGTATGTAAAGATAAAGACAGAGAAAAAGACGGATGTTACGGAGGAGTCGCCAGAATAGTTACTAAGGTGAGAGGTTTTCTTACGATTTACAAGGTTCATTGGTAAACTACAATCGTAAAATTTCTTCTACATTTATTGGGGGGGGGGGGGGGGGGGGAATTGGGCAGTAATTAGCCAGTATTGAATTTCGGGATCAGGTCATTAGGAACCTTTAAATGTGACCCGCTTTAAGACTGGTATATCCATACAACATTATAAAGGTCATATCAAATTCGATATATTATTCGGTACGGACGCGCCACCACAGCTATATAATTTACACTTTACATAAAATGCGGTTGCAGAGCGGCGTGCACAAGAAGCTAGAAATTATTTTCTAATATGACTGATTATTCCAATAATTATTAAGTTTCAACATACATAACAATGGTACAAATCCCGAAAAAAAATCAACCCATATATGACTTCCGCGACACTCAGACGGCTCTGCCAGTCGGTGCGGTAAAAAAACCGAACACATTTAGGATGCGTTGACATCTTACGGGCATCCTCTGTATAAACACTAATCAAAGATGTTATAAAATGGTGACACCGAACATATTACGTCGCTTTCCTGGACGATATAACCTTGTTCCTTATAGCGAATTCGCGTGGTCAATCGCCGGCAAGACCGCGCCGGTGGCACCGGCAACCGAACTCATGCCGGCGGCGTACCACGTGACCCTCACCACCCGAACGCAGAGCGCCAGAAGGTGGCGGTTTACTGCCGCTGCTACCCGCAAGTGGCGCTCCCTTCCATTTTCTCTTGTCTTGCCTAGGCGGCGCAAGTTACCTCCTAAACTCTCGCAAGTTTCACTGAGCAAATAGAATGGGAGTGTCCATTCGTGTAGGCACAACCTCGCTGTGCCAGTTGTGCTGTGCTTCTTGGGCTCCTTGGCTGTGCTGGTCCAACGAAGTGCTATCATACCCACGCTACGTGCAAAGAACACAATTTTCAGCACTGTGACTTTCTTCATATCGAAGCATGGCCATGGCTACTGCGGGAAGCGAAGCAATAACTGTGACGGCTGAGGCCTATGAGGTCCTCAAGAACCTCACGAACCACCAAGCTAGAGGTGAGTATTTATTTTTGATTTCAGTCTCTGCTAGGCCTTCAAATCACAGGAGAAACAAGGTAATTTTAAGAATCGCATTCACGCTCAAAAGGTGCGTGAAAAGCCTGAGCACTACCTGAAACCCAGTGTAAAATGTAATGTGTGAAATGGCGGAAGACGCAATTCGTGATTTTCGAATGGCGAACAGTTGTTTCTCGAAGTTTGGAATATTTCGCGAATAATTTCCGAATAGTCGGAACCAGGTTTGCAACGGTTCAGCGCCGCGAATTTCTCTCCATAGGCGCTTACCTGCCTGTCATACATGTCATAAAATGTCACTACGCCTTTCTATCAAAAATGTCCATGTAGGCTCCCCACTCACCAGCAATACCAGTTTGTCTCCAGTCCCGCGACGTTGTTTTACCCGTCTGCTGCTACATCTAGGGTCAACTGCACACATTCTCACGAAACTGGCTTGCTAGCAGACGCTCATGCGTGTGGAATCCAACCTATCTGCCTAGCCTTGCGAGCCGCCCTGAGGACGTTTGATAATGAATATTATTATATTTCTCGCACGCTTTGAATCAATCTTAAACTGCTTCTGCCCCCATGTGGCTTCTGGGAAGGAATCTGATTCAAAGTAGAATTTTGTTTTGTTACAAAGCTGTTTACGTAGCTTTCTGTGATATAACTTGAGCTCACATTCAGCACCCTGACGTTGGTTTTCCCTGTTTCACACGTGTCTTAAATGTGGCTTTGTTCACGTGATTGTTGTGCTGCTTCCTCATTTTGCGACACCAAGATGCTGCTGTAGTTGTCAAACTTACACATTTTACTTTTTCTCTTTTTTTTTTTTTTGCAGCTCTCAATTCTAGTTATTTTCACCTAGCTAGCCCTGCATTATTACAACGGTTTCCAATGACTCATAATGAGCATTATACTTTATAAACAGTGTACTATCTATTTGAAAATTATTCAATTCATATTCGATTCGGTGTATCTGCTATTTGATTCAGTTCGAAAAAGCACTATTCACACAATACTGGAAAATAATGTTCATTTTCTTTGCAGTCCTAGCTGAGTCGCAAGCTATGCAGGGCACCTCATCACAAGTCAGCGATAATTCTGGTAAGCAAGGATCTGGTCCTGTCGTTTTGGAGTAGATACCTGTCGAGTTGGTAAATTTGCGGTTCGCGAAGTTCTGGAAGCGTTAACTTTGTGTCAGGCCTGTGCTTGTGCAAGTCGTCAAGCTCCCGTAGGGCATGAGTATGTTCTATGGAGGGCTCCCAAACCACTAATTCTAATCAATACAAAAGGCGCTTGCGACCAAATGTAAAAGTGATTGTGTTTTTTGTTTTTTTTTCAGAAATCTGTAGTGAACCAATGGGCATTCCTGCTGGTGAGCCTCAGAACAAAGGTACCTACAATTGCTCATAAATTTGTTTTGAGTACCCGTAAAGTGTACTACTTTACCTCTATAGCAAATGATAGCTGGAGAATTGTAGAGCATGGCAAGCCCTGAGCATCTTGTCACTACGCAGTGAATGAGATTGTAGCGTTAGCCAATAACAGGAATGGAACTGCAGTGTCGATTGCGCCTAAGGATGTTTAGTGCGCCAAACAGATACAAAAGTATAAATAAGAATGAAATTGCACCAAGGTGCGTCCAAACAAAAATTATGAACGGCGCTCGTCAAAATTAGCCGTATCGCAGTTTCTTTTGGCAACATTGACATCGGAACTTCCGGCCTGTGAATCTGAATCCAAAGCACTGTATCTGGAGGTCGCTGCCATGGTTATACTTCGTTTCAGCTTATAACAGTTGTTACAGTGTCCCTCATTGCGATGCTTCTGCTACCAGACCTCCTTAAAGCCGTTCGCTGCCACTCTGCTTTGTCTATGTCCACACGCAGATGATGCTACAAGAGCGAGCTCCAGACTTTCAGCGTCCCTGCCAAGAACGCACAATTGTGCAGTGCTAGCACTGTTCAAGGCCACATGCTAGCGCTCGTAGCATTGGCTGCGTCTGGACATAAGTTGAAACAAAATATGTTTGCTGTTGCCATGTGCTTTTCTGGAGTCCTGTAGTCACTTCATCTGAATAGTGGAGCAAACAGCACCGCCATATTGTTTTGTTTTGCATTCGTCTGGGCTGCTGAAGTTTCCTTGATGGACATCTGGTTTTCCCTCATCAAGGACCAATTGTTCGGTTCAGTTTACATTTGGCACAAAAAGAAATTGGCGCAACAAGCAAATCATAGTGGGACCGTCAAAGGACGATATGTGTTGCCGCAGTTATGCAAACACATAGAGAATCTTTACAACACAGGATATCCTTTCGTCAGTTTCCCTCAATGAGGGTGACGAAGACGGGAAACATCTTCGTCGAAAGGACTCCCGTTTTCCATGCACCTGTGGGTGTGGAAAACGCGTGCACAAGCAAGATCCAGAAATGGTCAATAAAATATATGCGCATATTAGTGGGAATACATTGTTCATTCTAATGTGGACATCTCACTACATTACGCGCCAGCCTTTGCACACAGAAGCATCCGCAAAAAGGTGTCTTGTACAGAGGGCAACACTGTTAGTGTGAACAAGCAATCACCGGTTTTTGCTGTTTTTCTGTCGGATTCGTAAGGGTGTCATAAAAAACTATTGGTGTCGTGAGAAGGCTCATTTGTGGCAGCAACGTAAGCGGTAAATTTGGTGCCCACTAATACCACTTCGAAGTAAAAATGGGAAAAAAAGCACCAACGTCGTGTGTGAGCTAACAGGTCGCGCAGTGTACATCCCGGAAATTGAACGGTAAGGACAGCCCGGTCACTCTCTCCGGACGTATTCGAGGCACCACACGTGACGATTTCATCGCTGTGGCTGTAGACTCGTTTGGTAGCGACTGTATTTGCTGTAGCAGCACACTTCTAGTTCCTTGTGTATTAGACACCATTTTTTATTGTTCAACTTTGTACACAAGATACATGGGAGGAATTGCCTAAAGACCCAGCTAAACATATAATTCATAAAAAGGTGCAAAACATAAATTTCTACTACATTTGTACTAACCCTACAAAATTATTCCAGGTTGCAAGTGGACTGATGGGCAAACGAGGCTCCTGATGGATATGTATGTTAGATTTAAAAATGAAATAGGCCCCTTCAAGAGGTTTGCTAACCAAAAAAAGATGTATTCTGCCATTGCACATGAGCTCCAAACCATTATGAGCACAATCAAAACCGCCGAACAGTGTGAGGCGCGTGTCAGAACCGTTATGAAACGGAAAAAAAAAGCCATTGATAATAACAGGACATCAGGGGCCACAAGGAGGCCTGTGCCCTTTGAACAGGAGCTTGAGCAAATAAGGTCGGTGGACGACAGTGTGCAGACACAGATTATATGGAATGTTGAGGAGGTCTGGAGAAAGCTTCCTGCCGAGGAAGCACGGGAAAACCTGCAGCCAGAAATCACTCCAGATGACGGAGGAACATCTCAATCGAACCTAAGGAGAGCAGCCTCGCAGAGTGCCAGCAGGAGTGCGGCTGCAACGAGCACCAACGGGAGTGCGGCTGCAACAAGCACCAGCGGGAGTGTGGCTGCAACGATCACCAATGGGAGGAGTGCAGAGCGGGAGCAGCGACCCCGATCCCTGCAGCCAAGCCGTGCCAGGATGGCTGAGCTGGCTCAGTTCTTTAAGAAAATGGATGAAATGAACGCTAACAGGGATGCCAGGGAACAACGACAAGAAGAACAGCGAGAGAGAAGACACAAAGAACTTGTGCAACTCAACAAGACCACCGCAAATCTGCTGCGAAGGCTATTAGGAGAAGCCGAAGTACCACTTGACGAGTAGTGTAGTGCAAGGCTATGTTTGCACTACGGATGCAATGTGCCAATCTTTCACAACATATGCAAGTCTCGGTGCAAATGTCAGTAGTTTGGTTGTGCTTACATTTGCATATGTTAGGAAAGATCAGCACTTTGCACCCATAGCATGAACATAGCCCAATCTAGACAAAATAAAAGTCCCAAAGTTTCTGCTTTTCTCACATTAACTCAGTTGCTGGAAGAGGGAGATCAAGGCATAAAGTGAGGACGGTTTGCCTTTTCAGCAAACCATCCTCACGAGTGCGCTGCGCTTCTTCTCCCCCAAGACTCGTAGCGCAGCCTCCACCTCGTCCTCGTCTTCGTAGGGAGTTGTGCGCTTGGTTGGCTCGGGAGCCCCTGGGTCCATGAGGTCATCTCCGTCAATACACAGATTGTGGATAACGCAGCACGACATGGTAAACTGGCACATTCTTTCCACAGAAATGAACTCCAGGACCTTCAGCTGCCTAAACCTGTTCTTAAGAATGCCAAAGGCGTTCTCAATGAGCACTCGTGTCGAGCTCAGTTTCGTGTTGAAGGCATGCTGCTTGGGACTGAGGTTCCCATAGTCCTTGTATGGTGGAACAAGGTACTCCCTGCATGGATATGCAGCGTCCCCAAGGAGATGGTACTTTGCTCCTTTACAAAGAGTTGGGATGCGCTTGGAAACAGTCGAAAGCTTAAAAACTCTCCCGTCATGAATCTTGCTCGGGCACCCTACCGACACGTCTAATAAGCGTCTCTTGTGGTCACAGATGCCTTGGACCGTGATGGACAGTATATCATGCCTGTTGATGTATGTGCTCCTTATCTTGTCTGCAGGGCACCGGATGGGAATGTATGACCCGTCGATACATCCGATGACTCCAGGCATGCCAGAGACCTGAAAGAGGAAACATAACATATAACCACAATTTCAAAGAAAATGGCAGTCGCTTGTTATTAGCTCACTGCAAACAGTGGTGGTCAATTGAGGGTCTGCTGCTGTATTCGGAGCTTCCTCTTTGGGTTGTTTCGACATTAAAAAAATTATTGCAAATTGCCCCGCAATTGTGTTGCTACATGAAACGTCCTGGTTTAGCGCTAGTAGTACTATTGTGATGCAGTGCTTAAGTTTAGGCCTAACGCTAACTGTTTCCTTATTGTTAAGCATCATTAGTGCCACTAGTGCTAAACCAGAACGTTTCACATAGCAACACAATTGTGGGACAATTTGCAATACATTTCTTTTCAACCTTGAGGCTTTGCTCTTTGTTAAAGACACAGCTTATGCATTTGGTTTGTCTCTCTTCATTGAAATGCGTCAACCTCCGTGCAGTGGCTCAAGCCATCGCTGCTTTTGGTCGTCGGCTGGTACTGCGAGTCATTGGGCCGCGCATCTGACTTTAGCGGGCAGATGCCTGCGTTGGCGGCGTTCTTCATCAGTGTTTGACGTGAAACATCTGGGTGCATTACTCCAACTGATGCAGCTGCGTTTGGCGCCAAATAATACTTCGTTTCACTTGAGGTCCAAGCAAAGTCAAAGCTACAGCAAAACATTGGGTAGTGTGTATGCTTATACAGCCTAGAACTTGGTCTGCCTCAACAGGCGACGAGTCTCCCAGCTGTAGATAAGGAATCTAGCCAGTGCAGTAACACCGTTAGCCTGGGGCCTTAAACGTGCATCACGCAGTGGTGGTCCATGACCACACGCCGGTACGATGCTCATCCAGATCGCAATGGGCAGGGGTGGAGATTGAAACCAGGGTCGGGGGTTCTGCAGCGCGAGCTTTCGCTCCTTGTGCTCCGAGCTGGTGTGCGTTAGCCCACTCGGCCACCAATCCCCCCCAAGAGCTACAGCACGAGCCCTATGTTCTGTGCGTTCGTGACTCGCACGTGGGCTTGTCCAGTGCACGGGGCCAATCAGCATCGACAGTAACTGCGCAGGTGGGTGGATATGGCTATACTCCTCTACTCATTGACCAATCAGCAGTTAGACTTTCGGTTGCATTCGTTTTTTGGGCCTCACGATGCCTGAGGAACTAGGCTAAGAATATTTCACATTAAAAAATGTACGGGAACAGGAACTTCGCTTGAGCATACGGTAACACAAAAAAGGAGGCCCCCTTGGACGGCACACCCGCATGTGCAGGCGATGCCCATGCATTTGAGCCAGCACTGATAGGTAGCGTGCTGATGCGGTTCAAACGCCAGTGCCATGCTCTGTAAAATTCTGGCCCTGCATGTACATCTTTCGTCCACCTGCAGTACCATGGACAACAAAGTGTCACTTTTGCCCTGCCTAACCAGGACAACCTGGGGGAAAGCCCCAATCGAGGTCATCTGAGCAAATATCTTTGATCCGTGAAGACGAAGGAACCATACCTGCTCAAAATCGCTGGAGAGCTTGTCGAGGTCAGATGGAAATCTGATAACCCTGTAGGCGATCTGGCATAGATGCGTCATCACTCGTGTTATCATAGCGTGGCACGTGCTCTCACTCACTCCAAAGCGTCCAGCTACATCTCGGATGGACGTTTTGTTGCCAGCATACCTGACAAGGAAACGCACAGAATACAGATCAATATTCTTCATACTGTACAACAGTGAGTGTTTTTGTTAAGTACACCGATTCAACAACATGCAAAAATAATCTAATTCAGGGAACTAAACTTTGCTTCAGTATAACTTGGCAAACAGCAAAAGCTACGTCCCCAATTCGCTAATTGCAGTATCCCGGCATAAGGCTCGCAACAGTGGGGACGTCATCGCTGTAGAACGGCAGCGAGGTCGCTTTCGCACACAGCATATAACTTATCTACAAGTGGCATTGCTAATTAATCAATTTCCGTAAGAGTGGCACCCCCTGCTGCATTCCTGGTTTGGGGATTAGCTTGATCGGAAAAGATGCACAGTATTAGGACTTACCATAGGAAGACGAGAATGTGATGCTCAGGCGTCTTCTGCGGTGTTCCTCCGTGAGTTGACCTGTCAGGGTATGCAGTTGATGCCGCGAAGTCGGCAATCAATTTCTCGCAGGTACTCCTGTGAAGCCTGAAGTTCCGTCGGAACTACGGTGAAAAGATATTTGTTAGCAACGTGCCCCTAGAACTCGCACTACTTTATAACATACCTCCTCGTCGCTGTACCTGGAGACGACGGTCTCGATGTAGCCCTCGATTTTTGGCCTCGGCTCGGGAACCGAAAACATCAAACAAAAAGCTGTTTGAAACAGAAGAATATCCTCCTCTATGTCGTCCCTGCCGCTCCGATCCGACTCAGGGTATATAAACAACAAACTGGCGATGGCGTGCTCGTCTACGATGGAAAAAGGGGGAAATGGCAAGCGGTCATCTACTTCCATGTCCTCCATTTTGCCCTCGGTGTGACGCGGTCACGCGGTCATGGACGCGGTGGCGCGATGGCTCGCTCAACGATTCGCGTTGGCTTAAGCATTGCATTCCGAGTGACTTGAGATCAGTTTCGTTTTCTCCTCGACAAATTCGGATGTGACGACACCGACGCCACCGGATATCGACTGGTCGCCCGCTGGCCCGGTCGTTTGGAGCTCGGGCGAAAAAAGCGCCGGAAAGTTGCCGGCGCTTGCCGATGAACCGCCACCCGAACGATGCGCGCCCGCCGGATCCCGACCACGCGAACGCTGTTGCCGGGCGTCCGGCAAAAAAAGTTGCCGGAGATTGACCACGCGAATTCGCCATTAGAAGTGTGTTTATGTTCGCCATCAAAAGCGTACAAGAGAACACTTCGACGAACTTTCGCCTAGTTATAAAAGATAAAACTTTCAAAACTGGAGAAACTCTAACGAAGTTCAAGCAAACAAAAACTCCGGCGTTTTGGGCCCATTTAGGCTCCTCGGTTATGGGTCATAGCGGAGGTCTGTGTGGGACGGCCTGTTTAAGTTGGCTTTCCCTAAGCTCCCCTTATTGGTATGGCAACCCGGCCCGGTAGCGATTGGGCGGTGTCCCTGCAGACCGGTTGCCACAGCCTCGCATTCTCTGTACGTGCCAAATCTCCAACAAAAGGAATCTCCAACAGCTTCTCTTTGTGTCGGGGATAGGGCATTTTCGAAGGCCATGGCGAAGCGGGCTTTGTTTCCTTCAGTCACGGCATAGAGGGGGTGTTTTTCAAAACGCGGGGCAAAATCGTTCCTGGAGAACGTATGCATCTCAGAGAAAAATGTTAATGTCATATTAGTTTCTGCCAATGGGCCTTATAACATTATAATGCGCATAAGCAGTTTATTACCAATTGTTACTAAATTTGCTTAACTAGGAAATTTAAGGGTGTGCTTTTAATTAAACACTTGCTGTGCATTTAAAAAAGATTAAAAATTTTTAGAAAGCTATAAGGCACGCACAGCATTTTACGGAGTTAAAAATAACGACAAATTTGTATGTAGTTTTAGGTTTCGGGTTCCTATCAGAGTGCATCTTTCCGGCAGCGGTTCAGTACCTCATGGCTGAGGCGCGCAGCTCTCGCTTTATCTCTCTTCTAGAAGGACGGGAGTATGCGCGTGCGTTATGGGCCTCGGTTACCGAAAGGTGAGGAGAGGGGGGGGGGGGGGGGGGCGGTACTTGTCTGCTGCCAGGAAAGTTCACTCCGATAAGAAACCGGAAGCAATAAACCCGCCATAGGGTGATCGTTTTCTCGGAATGCAGCCAAATGAAGTGTTTATTTATTTACTTACTTATTTTAAATATGAAACGCCCATAACGCCTAAACAGGCTTTACATTCGGGGGATATACATAGAAAAAAGCATACAATTTCACTTAGACCCCTGCACTATGTCAAAGTAGTCATTCACACACAGAAAAAACAAATGCTATACGAACAACATATAAAGTGTGCATCGAAACATAACTTAATTTGCAAAATAAATTGAGCGAGGTTTAATCTAACATACGAAAAATTAATCGTTTGATAGCACACTAACCACAGCACGAGAAAATAGATTTCGGACATAAATAGTTCTTCGAAAAAAGGACACCCACAATATTTGTTTTAGAAGGAAATTATTATACCTTTCATCATCATTATTATTATATATTATAATAATAATAATTATTATTATTTTTTCTTAATTATTATATCATAGTGAGCACGGTGGGACTAATAGTGGGGTCGCGTTATGAACCTGTACTTTTGTATGCCAACTGTCGAATGGAAAACGCGGTGAAGAAAAACTTCAAAGTCGTCTTCTGTAAGTTTCGAGCAACTCCCATTCTAACATATACTTTTTGTGTTTCGTGCTGAAATCGACAGTGACCAAACAAGTGGCTAACTTTTTGGAGTCTTTCTAGTTTTACCTTGCCACACACTGTAGGCGGTCCCAACAACACATGCATATTCTAAAACTGACCTGCCATTAATTTTATAAAAAAAACTCTAGGTTGTCTGTATTGAAGTTTCTAGCAGCAAAACTGAGGAATCCCAAGGTTTTACAAACTTTGGTCATCACGAAATCAACCTGGTGGGGCCATATTAGGCAAGTCGTGTAATGCACTCCCAATCTTTATAGCCAGACGCTGTTTACAAAGGGATGGTATTCATGGCATGAGAAGCCGGATATAGGTATTTTTTTTCTTCTTGTGAGCGTGTGGGAGTTTCCTCTTTGAGGGTGTACCACTTAGAAACACAAAGAAGGTTCCTCGGGTTCGGATAAAGACGTGTTTATTGACTGCAATGTCAGCACGCTTCGCTCTTAAACAAGAAAAGTCTGGGCGCTGGCTCAATTGCCAGTATCACCCGGTCGGTTTCCCGCGCTGCCGCATTAGACAGATTCACGGGAAGTCGGAGGCCCACAAAGAAAAACCGAGCTCCGTAAAGCCAGGGCCTCCGCCGACGAGAGCCCCTGGCCCACCTTCGGGGCCAGCTTATGTAGCCTCGGAGAATGGACGCGCCCGGGGAGGCCACTAACAGTCGCGTCCATTATAACTCTCAAGGGTGTGCCGAAGGCGCGTTCACCCAAATGGGCAAGGGAGAACCGGCCCCTTCGGGGAATTCGGCCTCGTGGTTCCTTGTATCCGGGAGGCCGACGCCATTGGTGACGACGGCTCCCACGGCCCGCTCGAAGCTAGGCCTGGATAGGGATAGAGGGAACCCCATGGTTCCCACACTCCCCCCTTCTCAAGGCTAAGGTAGGCCAAAAAAATAAAACGGCCTACCGGCTCTCAAAAACAAAATAAAAAAAACGAAACCGAAAAAAAAAACTACCGCGTCCGGTACCGACCCCCACATGCTAGGGTTGACAAATGAAAAAATCTTCGGGGACGCTCCCGGCGCTGAAGTCCGTGGCTCACCATGGCGCAGGGACAGGACTTAGTCTTGGCCGAAGTCCAGGATTGACGACGCCGGAGCGTACCCTGACGACGCGCCCCGTCGTTGGCGTCGGCACGAGCGCCCACCTACAGTGCATGTGGCTTGCAGGCGGGCTCCAGGCATCGGGACGGGAATCCGCAGATTGGGGCAGCAGCAGGGTCGCCGAGACGGCGAAGTGTGTCGGGGAATGACATACAAAGTCCATGAATGGCAGCAAGTCCCCAGCTCCAGGTTCCCAGGGTTGGAGACGGAACCAGGCAGCGGGAGGACACCTGACGCCATCTTGGTCACAGCGGAAGTGAAAAAGTCTTTCGGGCCGGCAGGGGGACTGGCAGCCCCGGCGATGATGACGTTGCCCCGGCGAATGATGACGCTGCCCCGGCATTGTTGTCCTCCTCGTGGGCCGCGCCATGACTCACACCCGCCTGGTACTGGAATGCAACCTGCGCTCTGCCCCCTCTCCCGTTTCTTTCCCCAAGAAACCTCGGAAATTCCGAGCAAGGTCGAGCCGTCCAACTGAGGACACTCGACCCATCCCTGGGTGCTCAAGGACCCAGAGAAAAAAAAAGAAAAAGGCAGAGACAAAGGTGTCTTTTCTGCCGTGAGTCACGTGCATCGCACTGGCTCGGCTTGCGAAGTTATTGTGAAAATAGTTCCACGACTCCGCTTAATGTGAACACGGATGTCCACATACCAAGCTGACTCGCGTCACCCCGGACAATGAATTTGTTGGTGACTATTCGAAGAGGCAAAGTTCTTTGTAGCTGCTTTTGCTAACGATGCCTAATCGCTTCGATTTGCGGGCGCAATGAAATGTCAAATGCGCCACCCTGTCCTTTCTTGTAATATTGAAACGATGCAGGGCTGCAATTGGGCAGGCTCGCCAACATTGTTATTTTTCAAACGTGTTAGCTTTTACCTTAGGCTAAAACACAAATGCCCGTGGCCAGGTATAGCACAGCGACCTAACTTCGGAAAGTCTTGGAGCCGCATGCTGCCCTGGCCAACGCGAACAAAGGAGAGCACCGAATTCCCAGCCGCGCGGGACAGCCCCCTTGAACTGCAATGTTCGTAGAGGCCAAGCGCCGTAGCACGAGTTTATCCGCATCAGCAAGAACAGAAACCGATCCCAAATAAAAAAGAAACCCCGTGCCAATAGCAATACCAGACTATTTACGGCACCGATCGGCAACAACACGAGTTGCTCGACCCGGCGAGTACGCTGCCCGGCTGCCAAAGCCCGTCTGCAACAATACGAGTTGCTTAGCGACGTTAGTGGCGAGCGTACCACCCGGCGGACGCACCGCCCGACTCCGCAGAGTCCGCGAAAATATACAACTATTCACATATTTACACCCCGGATCGTTCTGCTGAGCGTCAAAAACTCATCGGTGATACCATCGATTCCCAACGAACACCTCGAGTGCCGTGGTTCACGATCTCGTCCAGTGACCGCATGGCGGTCACCTTAATCGGACACGCATTCATCTCGGGATGCTGTTCAACCTGTTGCACTGCCCGGTAGCACGATTGAACTGCTCCCGGACCCCGCGGCGTTTTCACATTTAACGTCGCTTTTACGGGGTCGCAACTCGATAGGTGGCCCTCAAAGGTTCCTAACGTTATTGTTGCGTGCGACGCTCACTGACTTTTGGCCGGAGTCGATCGCGGGTAAACGGAACATACTAAATTCTAGTAGCCGAAAACCATGCTCACGCCAGTCCTCTGTCCCTTGATAGCGGGAAGGAAAGACGGAGTAAACAGGAAATCATTTTGACTCACTCAGTTTTCCCGGGGGGCCTTTGTTCCGGGGTCGCTTGGTCAACCTGATGGCTACTGGTCCGTCGACGCGGCGACGAAGGGCACCATCGGCGGTCTCCGCAACCTCGCTAGACTGGGACCGGTGTTGCAGGCACAGCGCATTTTCTCGCTCCGAGATATGCTTTTAGTTTGTGCGCTGACGGGGTGTCCACTCTGG